ACACAATTCGATTACAACCACTACACCAACAAAAGCAACAATAAAAACTTCTCTATGCAATAATATATTTCAACTAAGAAACAACAACTACAACAAAAGCAACAACTACAACATTAATATAATACGTTGGCTTTGTTTTTGTATGCATTTTTATGCTGCCCGCGCCTCAAGTTAATCCATAGCATGTTGAGTCATGACCACGATCATGGCCACTAGCACAGCATCATTTCTCTCGTATGGATGGATGGCTGTACTATTTTGTATTAGTAATTGTTGTTGTTTTTATTTACATTTTTGTTGCCTTGGTGGCTTTTGTTGTTCGCGTTGTTTGCGTTGTTGCTGTTTTGCACATAATCAGTAATCATTTATTTATTCATTTTTTGAGTGATGGCAGCACTACCAACAGCAACAGCAGCAGCAACAACAACAACAACAACAACAATAACAGCACAAGCATAAACAATCAACTCTAACATTACTCTGTTATACACTAAAGCTCAAAAAGGATATCTATGAATTTAGTGCCGTCCTAAAGTTGGATGTAGTACGTCCTGCAAATAAAATCACTGAACCGCTATACTCTAATCATACGTTGGCGGTGTAGCTGCTGTAACAAAAACGACAATGAACAACAGCTATGCAAATATCCACAACGAACCAGCGGCAGTGGGTATGAATACTAAATCAAAATACAAACAAACGAAAAAAACAAAAAAATACAAACAACAACAAAGACTGAAGTAGAAGTAGTCCAATTTGTGTTTTTAGAATACGAATACGCAGTAGATATAAATTAGGGTTTCTGGCCAAAGTCAGACATTGGTAGGATATTGTAATGCCGTACATTGTCGTATAACATAGATATGATAATAGTCTTCCATAAATTGCGAATACAAGTATATGACCTCGTTTAAGAAACTCGCAGCAAACTGTGATCTATTGAAGAGATCACAATTGAAGGAAACCTATTTTGGTTTGTGGCAGAGATACAGCTTAAAGACACCCCATAACCATTATGTAACCGAATAGCTTCACTGATTGAAAATAGTTAAAAAAACTATTTTATTTTTATTAATTGTTCAGGTATGAAATACGGCACTGATGTCCCCATAATGTCCTAGTCCATATAAGAATGTTGATCATTCCTAAATACTATTAACCCACGTTTCTATCATTTGGTGCTCTTATTATCATCTGGAGTTCATCTAAGGCCTTTCGTATGAGTATAAAAATAACATATATTTATAAAAATAACATATGAAGTTTTCATAATTTCACACATTTATTTGACATCTAACATTATAAGACGAAGAGTAGTAAACAAAAAGTAACCTATGTTATAAATGCTGGGTAATCAAAGCTTTTGCATGGAGCAGAAGTGCTCCATACATATCTTGTAATCTCCAGTTTTCTTCAATTTGTGTCTATTAGGTATATTAGGATAAGCTATATCTGATTCGTTACTCAATAAAACCTGATAAAGACTGTACCAAGCAACTTTAATAAACGATTACGAATTTAGATAGCCTATATCTATATATAAAATATATAAGGTTATATATTTGTGTACGCATATTATCTCCATGCCTTCTTCTATTTTGAAAGGTTGCGTTCGTTCAAGTCTATGGGAAATACGACTGCATTTAGAAACGAATGTGAATATTTTATGGGAATATGATTTCTAAATGTTTTTTGTATAATTTTTAATAAGACTGACATAGATTATATTTGTATCCTAACCGTGCTTTACACTTTGGGAGATTTACTAAAGATACAACTAATATTTAGAAGTACATTGTTTTATTTATATCCTTATCCTTACAATCCATATCCTTCACTGCTTTACACGTTAATTCGTAATAACACAACGTTCCATTATATGAGCATAAGTGGGCTCTGGACAAAAGATCGTTAGTCTAATTCAGGGTGTACAATGATTTGTTTTGGCCCGCAATCGTATCTGGTGTGGACAGCTCTGGTCTAATTTAATCGCATTAATTCATGCGATTAGTGCAATAGAACCAATATTTTAAGCCAAAATGTGAATTACTTAAACTTTAAAATCCTTTTTAATATAACTAAATCTAAAAGCTAAAAACTATGCAGTGCAACCAGAAAAGTAACAATCAAGCATTGTTTATAAACTCAAACAGTTTTATACTTAAGTGACTTGCAAATGGGTAAATAAAGGGGTTCGCTTGTCAGCTGCAATCACAATGAACCCCCAAAAAAGTGAAAAGTCAATGGGGAAAGCAAGAAAGCAAGGTTCAAAACTACCATTCACAATGCAAAAGTGAATACAATGGAATTATCCACACCCTTGCGCACGTCCCATCTAAGAAAAAGGCTTTGAATTTTTTGTATTACAGTTTTTGTACGTATCCTTTATCCATATATGCATGTAGTGCAACAACAACAACAACAAATTGGTTATGCAACAAATGCACTAATATGCATTTGTGCTGATGCATATTCATCGGTGCTGGCAACACTGCATATATCCATAGATTGGTATGCAACTGGGTCATTTAGCTGCTGATATTGACTTCCATTCTTCGAACGTCAAAAAATATACCAAAGGATTTTTTTTCCATTATTTTTTTTTCCTTTCATTTTTTCTTCCTTTAAGTTCTTTCACATATCCTCTGTTTTGAAATTCAAAAGGACAATCGTGCTTAAGTGCTGCCAGTTTTCATTTCGAGAGTTTTGAGGGCTAAACTCTAAGTTGAATGTCATTTTTCGTGGCGATGCACGCAATCACAGGCAACGCACATTCGACAACAAAAGCGGATTAAGGCATTTCAACTTTATAGAAACAATGTTTAAAGTAATTAGTAATTTAAAAAGTAATTAAAATCGTAGAAAATATTTCATTTTGAAATTTAAAATATTCAGTGGCAATGTTGAGCTTCCAAAATTTATGAAAGCACATTTTTGGTTTGATTGAGTTTAGGATATGCCGCAGGGTCTCAATTTCAATTACGCGTGAAAAACACGGAATTGTGAATTTTTGTTCCGTGAAAAATGAGCAATTGCACACAATACCAGAAATACAAAGCAGAGCACAGCACAGCACAGAACTCCGAAAACACAATCATAAAACTTAATTTAGCAAATGAAAGTTTGTAAATTGTTCAGTTCTCGCACCGATTCAACAAGATTTGCTATCGAAATTGAATATTTTTAACAACGGATGCTGCGCCACATAGAGCAGCTGTCGACACTAAAAGACCATCAAGGACATGAATGCTCTGGGGCTTTAAACTTAGCACATTTTTATGCTTTGTCATTAAAGATTTTTTGAAAGTAATTTGAGAAACAAAAACATTAATTTACACTTCCTGTGTGGCATGTTTTCTTCAAATAAAAATTTCATTCGTTATTAAAAGTTAATTGCCAAAGACAAATTTAATAACGCCAACGGTGAGGTGAAGTGGAAGACAACGTCGGACGTTCTGCAAGATATTTTAATACGAATAAAACAGTACATTTTATTGCTCTTGCTCTCTTTATTTATTTCAATGTTGCTAAAGTTTTTACTATCGTTACATTGCACCGTCGAATACATACACACTTTGGATTCAAAAATTTCACTTCAAGATTTTACATTCAGGATAATGTGCGATAAGATTATTATCCTCGTGATGACTTAAAATTAGTTTTTCATTCTTAAAAAAATAGTCAATTTTATAAACAAAAGTTAATATGAAAAATTCTGTTTCGATGAGAAATATTTCACTAGATGGAATTGATAGGCAACATAAATATGTTTCAGTGAAGAAATTTTTTACATTACACATAAAATATTTCTATATATTATTAAAAAAATGTTCTTCAAAAAATAATTTTCCTTGATAAAAACTGATTAGTCATGTTATCTTTTGCTGTTCGTTGTTCTGGTATTTCATTTTCAATGTATCTTACTTCTTATTAGCTCCATTTATTGTTAAATTGTTCAAACGTTGTCAATGTTCGTTACGTTGTTCATCAATTTTAATTTAATTTTTTTAATACGTCCCTAAAATCGATAATTTTGTTGGGATTTTGGCAATTCGATATAAGCTGGCAAAAAATTATATATAATGATTAAAAAAATTAAATTTATTGTGGCAACGCTAAAATAAAAATGACATATAGTTTTGACATATTGTAAAAGTGAGTTAGTAGTAGTTGAACAATGTACGAGAGTTGTAATAAAGAAAAGTACTGAGTTAAAATATATCGTTTAAAATCTTATTTAAAATGACTAAGCTTCGACTTTATCACAGCGTACTTTTATTAAATATTTGGTTAAAATTTCCCATTGCAATGTGACATCGATAATTGGTCAGAAATCAGAATTAATGCAAGTAGAAAAAATGTTTACAACAAAAGTAATGCACACCCAGCACTCGCTCTTGGCATACATAAAAAATAATGCAAATATTGGAAAATTCAGATTTTGATTTCTTTATTTCATAAATGTGAACTGGCATTATGTTTTGGCTTTATATCGTTTGTTTTGTTTAATGTTACTTTATTGTTCGGCTTAGTAGGTGTGCAATCAATTTTACACGGTTTTGACCCTGAATGACCATAGCTGCATGCGAATTATTGCGCACTCCTATACGCATTCAGAGGAGTTGACCTGCTCTTGTGGTTCTGTTTTAAGCCACTGAATCGGAAAATTACACTCAATCATGTTGACAAACAAGCATGGCATTTTCATACAAATTTTCCACTTTTTCCACTTTTTTAGCTCGCAACAAGGTTGCCCTATGCACACTTATTTGTATTTGTTTTGTAAAATTGGCGTAGCGATACACCGCCAACTGCATTACTGCTGACTTGTGGCGATTTATGTGTGTCAACCTTCGAACATATTTGCGTACCGGATTCCTAGGGGAAATTAAGAGATACACAAAGTACACAAGATACTCGGGAAATACGAAAACAAGACGTAAAAGTTCTGATAGTAAGAATAATTGCTACAATTGCGTACCACTTCTGCTTGCATATGTAACAATTTGCATAAGTTTCTTAAATCTTATATTCCACTTTAAATCTAAATTTATTTTAAACAAAACAAACTAAAGCAATTCTTCGACCTTTTGAAAAATTCATTTGCATAATTTAAATATACATTAAAAAGTACAAATATGCAAATTACAGAAGTCAGGGACGTATGGAAATATATTTGAACAAGGCCAATGGGGTTTGTAGTGCGTACCTGTGTACTCGATACAGTGAAAATAAATCAATAATTAAATTAATGTTAATTTAATAAATTCAATTAATATTTCCATCAAAATGCGAACATTCTATACTTTATTCTCCTTGTCATACATTTTGCAAGGATACTTCATGTATCCTTTTTGGCAGTGATTCTTGGTAATGTGCAACTACTCCTATTACTCCTATTAAAATGTTCATAAATCAAAGTTACAATCCATGTGTTGACAAATACATTTAACATACATAGCAAACACATATCCTGCATATGTCACCTTTGTGTATTTAGTATGACTGAGTATGTGTTTGACACACATTAATAAATACGTAAACAACTTTATCAAATTTACTAACTGCAAATTTGTAAATAATGCTTTGTAAATAAAATTTATACAATTTATCTATATTTATATTTATATTTATTCACGTGAATGCAATACAGTCCCAAAGAAAAAGCATGGACAGAGACAGGGGCACGGATACGGTTGTGGACACTTTCACGGACGAAAATATTTTTTAATTTGCGTACAAATATATTAAGTAAAATTGTAAATATTGTAAATTATCTGCTTAAAAAGCAATTTAAATAAATCTATACTTAAATGAATTTGCAAATATTTATAATAACTTATTTCGTTATTTCGTAAAATATGTGTGCGCATAATTTCATGATATTGAATTTTAATTAACAGGTCCACGTGTCGTATGAGCAACGTTTATTAATTTTCGATGTTCATTGTGTATGAAATTTTAATATCTTTCGATTATTCCGTTCATTAAATTTTGTTAAGATTCATGAAATTGATTTTGTTGGGTTTATTACAATTTATTGTACATATTTTTATTTTATATAGTATATGATATATTACATTGTTTATTCTTTATAGTCGTATTTCACAATTACTACTGAAAGTACATTTCACTTAAATATTTTTAGTATTTACTTAACAATTTTTAATACAATGCAAAACAGAAGAGATACTTTTTTATCTTAATTAAATTATATTTCCTAAATATATTCTCATTTTAATACCTAAATAATTTACTAAAGCTCCACGACTTAAGTCGTGTAAGATTAGATAATGGAAAAACAATCTAAAAAAAAGTAATATAATCTTTTTAATGGTCCTAAACCTTAATCTAAAGATTCCAGCTAAAAGGTATATCTCTCTAAGATATGTTTCTTACCTAAAGAACAATACTTGCTACTATTAGTATCAAGTTTGTTTCTACCAGTAATAAGTAACATTAGAGAAGAATCTTACGAGTTGTTTAAGTCGTTGAATTACAAATCCGCATCAATGTCGAATCAGCCCAGATCTGAGTACTATTATTCAGTGCTTCCCGCATTGCTACAAGCTCAATTAGTTCTTGTTAGAATATTACTTTAAGTGCTATAAACTATCTTTACAATGACGCATGTCTTATTTATTGGACGAGACAATATTATGCAATTAAATAATAGCCGCATAATACGAGTACTAAGCGTTGAAAGAGGGCAAACCGAAGTATACGTCAGCTACTGATAGAAAAGTGCGTCGGTTAGACTTCGAGCTGATGACTAGCATCCATACTTTTGAATCTGTCAAGTATTTTATCTACCTTGGCACTATCATAATGAACAACAGCGATGTTTGTCTGGAGATCAGACGAAAAACCACCATTGGGCTTAGTTAGCGTTTGGGATGTTGAGCTCGCTTTTGAAAGACAAAACTTACGCTTATCCGACCTGTTCATCTGTATGGCGCAGAAGCATAGAGGTTATCACAGTATAAACACTGAAGTAGCATTGGAAGTAATCGAGAGAAAAGTTCTTGGCAAGATCTTTGGTTCTTCACGAGTAAGTCATGACTGTCGTATCCGAATGAACCACAATCTGTATGGGTTTTATCACGACATCGATATAGTTCAGCGAATTAACATCCAGCGCCTTTGGTGGCTTGGCAATGACGTGAACAATAATAAAGATGCTCCAACGAAAAATGTATTGTAGGCGGTAGTTGGTGGAAGAGGGAGGCGTAAAGGTAGAACGTGTTTTCAGTGGAATAATAAAGTAGAGGAAGCTCTAACCACACGTAATGTACGAGACAATAGAGACCGCGCATGCAGCAGACGGGCCCGATAATGGGTTATTATATCAATTTAAGTATATAAGTAATTATAATATGAGTTGAGGTCTATTAAGTAATTCTAAAATGTGCATACAATAAAATTCATATTATAATATAAATAAGTTTATGCCACAAAAATATATCACATGAATGCTTAATTTAGGTTGATTTTATTCAAATTAAATTTTTAGGGACCAATATAAGATTAACTGCCTAATATTTATTTATCTTTGTCTTTTATAACTTTTGAGAATACTCAACATAAAGCAAAGCATTGAAGAGATAATATCGTTTTTTTATGAACAAATACAATATATACATTAAATAAAAATGATATATTTCATTCTCTCATTTTTTGTACTAAATTCGCATAAAAACCACACTGAAATTTATTATGAATTGTGATTTTATTGCAAATAATGCACAATAACTAATTTATTAATCCTTATAAAATATAATGTATTTATGTGCTTGTATGTAGAGGAGACGCTGCATTCATACAAACGGCAAACATTAATAATTAAAAAGATAACAATAAAACCCCACACCCTACACACATAAATTTTATGAAAGCACAGGTCACATACTTAATGGTCAATAAAAAAAATCCAACGATAGTCACTACTAAATATGAACGAAAATCAACAGACAGACGACACGTATGTGGCGTGTGGTGGGTATGTAGGCACAAGTGTGTAGTGAGTGGCTTTGTACCGAAGTGTGTGTGTGTGTGTGTGTGTGCATGCCAAGAATAAAAACAATGAAACATTTAATATCCCCAACGATGCTTCAGTGTTTGTATGTAACAGCGTATCCGTAACAGTTGTACAGACCTACATAATTCAGATTTATATGTGTGTATGCTGTGTGTATGTTGGTATAAACGTGAATGCATTTATTTGTAGTATGTAGTAAGGTATGTGTATGTGTAAGGGTGCGATAGTGTAACAGTACAGTGATGGCGTTGTAAATTACTCTGTAAATTGCATTTGTTGTGGAGCAAAGGAAAAATATAGATCAACTCAAAAAATTAAAACACAACCCAAACTTCACCGCTCGCCCATTTGCCCGCCCTCCTTGTCCAATATCGAAAAGTGGAGTGTTCAAGGCGAACATTTAATATGAAATGTGTGCGTGTGTCCATTTAGTATTGTACTCGTTCGTAGCGATTTCGAGCACTCAAGGACTCAATGTCTTGAGAGTCCTTAGCAATGTCTCTTTTATATTTTATTTATTTTTTGTTAAGTTCATATTTTTTTCTTATTTTTTTTTTATTAAAAAAATTTTTTTAGTGCCATTTTTCTGCGAGTTTCAATAAATTTGGAGGAACATAAATGTCAAAATTATTTGCCAAGCGTATCATAAAATTCTCTTTCCCATTTTATTTCATAGAACATTTTTCTATACTCCTGCGTATCTAATAGCTGGCTTTGTTTTATGTGATTTGACTTCTTGTTACTGCTTTTTATCTCAATGGCAGTTGTTAAATAAGTCATTATTTGCTTATGAGCATTTTATGTCGCATTTAAACAATAAACAATAAACACCACACCATATAGAATAAACGTTAAACTTTAAAGCACAGCATAAAAATCATAAAAATAAAATAAAAAATTATTACAAATTAATCATACAATTCACAATTTCGCACCTATGACATTAAATTTAAATCCAAAATCCAAATAGACAGGCAGATGCCTTAATTCATGTTACTTGGATCATCTGACATCCAACAGATTTTACTTTATACTGCTCTGAGCATTCAGTGCAACTCAAAATTCCTCAAAATATAATATAAAAAAAAATCAGTTAAAATTAAATTAAATTGCCACCAAATAAAACAATTATTTGTGATTATCCTTGCGGCAAAATACTCACTCTCGCATACACAAGTAATAATATAAAATTATACATAATTATTCCGAGTTTTGTGTGCACATCCCCATATTTTGTTTTTCATTATTACTCACATAGCGCAATACATACATACATATGTACATTCACGTACACAGTTCAGTATTGTTAATCGCCGAAAGGCAGGAACTGTTGCAATTTTTAAACGCAACGGAAACGGAAAAGATGCAAAGTAATTTCAACTCACACACACAACTGCCTCACAAACTGCCTCTTGCTTATACCCGATACATACAGAGTATACAGAATACATACACACATACACGAGTTATTATATTTTTGTACGTTTAAATAAATTATGAAAACAAAAAATATTGCATTTTGTTTGTTTTATTTCCAACAAAAAAGTAGTTGATTTTCATTAAAAAGAAATATCAAGGATAACGCTTTGTTTTCATTTTTAATTAACAATTTGTGTGAGCTTAACTAAGGCCACAAACCCACAACATCAATAAGCAAATATGTTATTATTTATTCAGAATTAAACTCGTATATATATATACACATATATATATATATATTCAGAGTACATTTGTAACGACTATGCATCTGTAAGATGCATGAAGGATATCGATGGAAGTACATCAAAACAGAGCCACAATAATGGAGGTTTAAATATTGGCCTGTGAATATAATATATGATACTGATACTGAATATAATTAAAAATTGAATTTCAGAATGTCACATTTTTAATAATATCACATAATGTTCAAATAAGAACTCTTTTTCATTTCCTCTATTGGAGAAATGGGTAGTATGGTGGTAGTAGGTGGTGGTATGAGTAACAAGATTAGTTTTATGTTTAAATTTGAGATAAGAGATAGCTTTTCTGAATGGAAGGAAATGATGCAATTAAAAGGTGTTTGATTCGGTACCCGCTGGGGAAAAACGCAATAGAGGACGTCCGCATCTTCAGTGTAAGGACCAAGTGACCAACAATTTGAACATATTCGATACTACCAACTGGCGACATCAAGCAACTGATCGGGCTGGCTGACGGAGGCTAATGGACGCGGCCAAGAATGACTTACTACGTCACGTCAAACTGCTTTTTGAAGTTTGTCATAATAATTTTCATAAATAAAAATGTAACTACAGTAATAATTTAATTAATAAAAATATTTTTTTTATCCAATAAATTATAAAGTATACAAGACCACTGCTTTCTGAAAAACTATTTTGTTACATATAATACGGCTGCTCTATAAATGGATTACTGCATATTGACCATTAAATTACTGATTGAAGGTATGGTATGTCAAAATTTAAAGAATTGTAATATAATAAACAAACAAACCAATGCTAACTTATAGAAACTGAGAAAGTACCTAAAGTAAATAACTTATAAACATATTTATAATACTAAGCTGAATTTTTTCCACTTTAAATTTTATTTATAATAATAATATAATAATAATAATAATTTATTAAGAAAACATTATGATGATATAAACGAAGCCTGAGAAACAATTTGCGCGCAAATTCTTCATAAATGGCTTAATGTTCTGAACTCGAAAAATTCGACTTAAAAATATTTAGACAGTGGGTCCATCACTAGCTAACATATAAAATGAGTGAATTATTGAATAAAAGTGTATAAACAACACTAACTCGGGATAATACAGTAACATAAAAATCTAATATATAGATCCATGAAACACAAGCCTCTCCAATTCCCAGTTCTCTGATTTTGATACTTTGATGATTTTCTGATTTTGATATTTAGCTTGCTAAATACTAAGCCGGTCTGTTCTTCCTTACTGCCCTTCAATACCGGAATAGGGTTTTGATCACTTAACACTATTGTACTTATGAAGAATTACAAAAAAGTAATCTATACATTACTGGAAATTACTGTGACTGAGAACTGAGTATTAGAAGAAAGGTATTTGGCATTTTCCTTTCCTTTCAAAATTTATGAGCTCTTGAGTTAACCTTTACTTTATTCTAATTTACTAGCTTATAGTATATACGAATCTCTTCCAGTTTCAGACATACTTATGTTTACAAATTTCTAATATTGAAAAACTCTTATAGCCACGTTTTGATTTTTGTTTTTAAGTAAACTTCTTATAAACTTCTTATTGATTTTATAAATATTGTTTTGTTTTTTTTTTGTTTCAAATTAAATAATGTTGAAACACATTTTTTTGTAAATAAAAATTACTTACGCCATTTTTTTCACAAACTCCTCCGGCATTTTTCAAATCACCAGTCCATGCCAATCCTAAGGTACCCATTTCGAAGTCTCTGTAGGTGAACATATACGCCAGGCAGAAAGCATCATAATCCTCCTCTGCGAAAAAAAATACACAAATTCATGAGAAAAATTTGTAATTAAAAATAATTTAATTATTTAATTTAATATAGTAAGCAAAATTTTCAACAAATTTATTTGAGATTAATTTAAGATATACTTATAAGCTTTCTGTGTATGTAGAATATTATTAAAGCAACAAAATCTTTAAACTTTAGTATTCATGTCCAAAGGAGTATTAATTAATTATGAAATTGTTTAACAAAAAAGGGTTTTGGCTTCGAATTTTTACTCTGTAATAATGAATATGTATTCTGCAATAGTTTAAGCAAAACATAAAGAGTCTATAAACAAAAGTACTGCTCCTAAAAGGCTCAATATTTAAATAAGAAATTAAAATAGAAAAAATATTAGAAAAAATAAGAACAGGAAAGAAAAATATTATTACGGTATTTTAAATCTAAAGCAATACACACATAAATACACACATATATATGTATATATGTACAATTATAAATCCTAAAAGTATGGAATATCCATTTCATAAACAAACACTGCTCGCATATGCACACCGAAACTGAAAATAAAACTCAAAGTTACACAAACTAACTCATATCACCACCACACATCGCACACCACTGTACACAAAAATATTTGCATTCACATACATACAAACAACCTAAATAAATAATACGCATATTTATTGCCAATGTTTGTGGTTTTGCCAACATTTCATACGCAAAAGTGTATGCACATACCTGACTTCCGGTTCGTGCATACATTGCAAATATCGTGTGTGTGTGAGTGTGTGTGTGTGTGTGTGTGTGAGTGTGTGTGTGTGTATGTTCTTCTAGGCAGGGAGTATGTGTTTATGTTTATGAATATTTGTGTTTCTCGTTAAGCACTTATGAATGTGTATGTATTTGTGCGTGAGTATGAGCATGAGTTGCTACGCTTGTACACTTTCAAATCAATTGTGAGGGGAAAATTAAATGTGAAAATTGCAATGTGTCTGCGTTGAGTTGAAATGCGAAAATGGTTTTTGTGCAATTTCATGAAATCGAGTACGATAATGGAAAACCAACTCAGAAGCTTGACTAAGCGAACGCTGGCTGGTTTGTTAGATGCAGAACAGAAAACAGTAGAGCAAAACAATAATGCAACAAAATAGTAAAACGAACGATACTGCAGAGCACCGAGCCACACAAAACTACAGCAACGAGTAGAGACAAACCATGAAGCGCCAGTTTAAAAGTCTACATTTTCATTTATTTATTAAGCTGAGGATTATATCTACAGTTATATAAACAGCGGTGATGCAGTTGTGTTTTCTATTTCTGTTCAGGGAATCCTTTTTGGTGCTGTAGGAACTCAAGGCAAAGCAAGTGCATAGACTATACTGCGAGCGTAGACGGTAATGAAGTTATTCTTATTGAAGGTATTTCTTATTGCTTAATTGGAATGTAGTTATGTATAAATTTGAAATTAAACGCAATTAATAATAAAATTATTTATTCTCATCCTTAAATTTCGAATAACTGACACAGAGTTAGAATCTTAAAATACATACAATTTAATTTCTTTATATTGTTCATATTTTTTACTTTATACTAAAAAATAATGAACTTCGTAGTTTAAAGTAAATATCTTTCTTTCATTTATTTTGTCGATTCGAACTTTAACAGGAAAATGGGTAGGTGAAGTGAAAGGAGGATCGAATTGCCTTCAATAAGTTAAGAAAGCCGTTCAGATATGCTAAAAAAGTATATTAGAACCATCCGGATTCGACAGGGCAGACCAAGTCTGGCTCCATGCCATCCTATTGTCTAATGCCCCGTTAGAACAGATATTAATGTAAACACTTTCTAACTACATCTGTGTATCTAGTCGGAACTTCTACGTTTAAAGTATACAGGTCATTTAGCTCTTGATCTGACAGTCATATTATCACTGTCGCAAAAATGGCCGTAAATCAATTATGATTTGTGGTTGGGAGGAGCAGAGATTAAGAGGAGAAGTTCCATCGAAGAAGCGCAAGTCTGACCAACTCATCTGCATTCTCGTATCTTTTAATATTCAAGTATCAAGTAAATCAATTTAGAGTTACCTTGAAGGTACTACTTAGTACGTTAATAGATCATGTATATTCGTGAATTATTTTCAAGACGAGAAGCAAATTATTGATATAGCTTAAATTGCTGCCTCTACTATCAGTGACAATATAGACTTCATTTTCATTAAAGTCCATAGTTAGAGAATAGGCTCTTAGAAAGACGAAAACTTCTGCCAAAATTATTGAAGTAAAGTCGTAAAGGTGGTACAACTTACAAATTTCTAGGTCCACTGAATAGATTTAGGTTTCAATGCCTATACGCATCTACGATTTGTTATTGTAAAGTGATATCTTTCCTTGCGTTGTACTCAGCCCTGTCTCCCAATCCGGTCTTGTTTATAAGCATAGCTATTTATAGGTAGTTAACGCCCACGTATGCTGATCTTTGAAGTCTACTAAGCATTTGAACAATGCATTGTTTATGCAGCGAAGGCCACAAAACTAGGTTTTCACATTTTAGAATGACGGCTGTATATAGCAGAGAAATACTTTAGTCTGCAATTCCCAGTCTTTACTATACATCTTTCTGCACCCTTAGAAGGCCACTCATAGCCATCAACAACAAGCATTCCTTAAAAATAAAACGAAAATGATAACTTTAAAACGAAAATAATTTTGAGCCCTGATTAAATTGTCATGAAGCGCGATTTTTCATCAGAGTTTGGAAAAATGTTAAAATTTAAAAAAGGAATACTTAAGTGTTCATATTACAGATACGATGGGTACGATGACTAACTGAATTGACACAGTACTCTAGTATTCTATTAACACCGTATGCTAGAAAATCATACGTATGTGTGAATAATTACTTATACATCGTAATTCTATATTCGTATAAGTGGCGAATGAAAGCATTATTATTCTGGACGTTTTCTTCAAAGCTTCTATTGGACTGTTATGACATGTTGCAGCAGCTGGTGAGGTCAGGATCTGCTATTGAAATTTGTGGACCGGAGCCAAATTGTAAATTAAGTTGGTCTACAACTAGGTCTCTGATTGATAAATGGTTCTTAGTCGAGAAAAGGCGCTAATGACGCAACATTCCAGATATCCGCCAGGCTAAAAAGCTGATTCATTCCTGTAGTTATTGTAAGGTATCCTTCTTTAGCAGAACAGAGTTGAGGTTGCTGGTGGGATATTTAACAAGTCACAATGGACTACATTATCACCTTAACAAAATGGGTCTGTCCGAAGAGATAGATTGTAGACTCTGCTTGGAAGCAGATAAGAGTTGCAGCCATATTCTCTGTGACTGCCCAGCCTTGATCTGGGCCAGTAGGAGGTCACTGGGTTAAGAACTACTCTCCTCTTCTGACATTAGGAGATCCTCAACGGTTGACATTCTGGTTTTCATTTGGAAGATGGAATGTCTTCTGTCCGGTAAGGGTCTGTTGCAGCACAAAAGATCAACCATGATTGCAGTGCTCTGCCCTGTTAGGAGCTGGTACCCCGTTTATTCCTATTTCTATTCCTTAGTGAAGAAAAATATTAATAGCTTAGGAGTATCATTGATTTGCTGTTATCTACTCTTCACTTCTACTCTTTTAATTATAAAATTATTTTTATTGTATTATTATCTATATATAAGTGTATAGATTTATTTAAAATTCTATGATAATTATAATTTAATAAAAAATATTTTATAAAACATGATTAAAAAGATATTATTTTCTAATTTTAGCTTTGCACAGAGGCGATATCGTACCCATGAAGTTCTATTGAAGTGCTATTATTGCTAATTGAAATATTTTTTTATAAATACATAAAATATTTTCTCATTACTTTAAAAACTTTTCAAAGACTAAAACTTTTTGAAAAGTATCCGCAATTACGTATCTAAGAACACATATAGTTAATAGTATATAAATATTCTATATATAATTATGTAGAACCATCTATACAGAAGCTACTCAATTTCTTTACCACAAAATGTTTTCGCGTATCTTTTTAAGGAACGAAAGGCTGACATTGCCACTTTAACCACATTTTTCACATTTATTTTCATAAAATTTTCTACTGCAACTCCTAAGAGTTACGTTCAGCTCAGTTAAATTGGGTTTTGCCACTAAATAAGAGGCATTTGCGGCAACTCAATCGTTTTGCGCTCCAATGCTACCTGAAACCTTTGCCATAACTCAAACAATTCCAATTTAAAGTTGCTAAATGTATCTACTCTTATGTGTGTCGGTTGTGGTACGTTCCTGTATCTACGCTTACGTATGATAAAATCCTTAAGTGTCATTGATGAAGCAAAAGGAAACGCTTCAACAAAATAAAGGTGAAAATTTAATTTTGTCTCACTGTGTAGTTTATTCAATTTGTCGAGGTGAAATGAAATGATTTTAATTAACTAAAAACTTTTAAAGTTTAATTAAGCAAGAATTTAATAAATAAGTGAAAATACATTTTTGAGCTATCTATAGTTGATTATTTTACTGTTTTCACATCTATTTTATTACAATACGGATTTTCAATAATTTTTTATTAGTAAAATTCACATTAGATAAAATCCCCAATAATTCTTCTTGTGCTCATACGACTATTTTTCTGATTATTTTACGAGCATCCTTAAAAACTTATAAACAATAAGAACTTTTTGTTACTTTAAATGACATAAGATGAAAATCGATTAATAATAATTACTAACTAACCTGAAAACAATTCCAAGAACTTTTCGACACCATAATTTCCAGGAAATCGGTAGGCGGGATCCTTGACTGCATTCATGTTGTGAACTTTAATTCGTTTTATCATAAACGTTATATTGTCAGGTTTGCCGTCGTTATTGAAATCTGAAAATAAAAGTTCATTTCTAGTGAAAAATCCATAAAAATCTTACGGCACAAATGAAACTCATGTAAAACACGTCTTTTAATCTTTTAATCGAAAATATTCCACTGGCAGATCAGCAGGAAAGTAAAAATTTTTAATAAAATGTATGCGAAAATGAATTTCCCTGACAATTCAACAGTTTTTATTGTTAAAATTAATTGGATTGTGCGGCCAAGTTGTGTGAATTTCGTTGTAATAAAAATTTCAAAATGCACAAAATTATTAAATCGTTGGGTGGACACATTTTGCAAGAACCATTCCGTGCCAAAACCATAAATTTCATTTCGGGAACCAGAGTATTCAGCCGTGGAGCAATGGTTGCAGTGGAGTGAACAGTGAAATAAACCGTTCCACAGTGCAACACTTTGTACGCAGTTTTCAGTTCGGCGGAAACTGAAATATATTTGCAGTTTCAATGAAAACTTGTATTGATTGTTTTACACATAAAATAATAATTAAATGAATCATAAACAAAACAACAGGCCAACTAATAATATATAGCATCAGCTTTATATACGCCAGATGGTATTCCAGATTCAGTCAAAAACTGAGTCTCCTTCAAATATGTTTAGATTTAAAATGTAACTGCAGAAAACCTTTTTATTTTTGCTCTGCATACTAAACGAATGAATGGATAAAATAGTTTTAAATTTAATTCATATAAACCTGAGGTGTTTAAATTAAATTGTTTATACAAATAAAATACTTTTAAATTGTGCGACAGGAAGAACACACCAGCTAAACGATAGCATAACCAACCGGTGGCGTAGCAAAAATTGTGCTAAGGAGGTAAATACTAGAAAATATAGCACTGTTTTCGTAGTGCCTCCTATGTAGATTGTATTATCAAGGGAGAATCTATATTTTAACGATCACTTCTAGTTACGTCACTCACATGAGAACACAGCAACTAATCGGATCGAAAGAGAAAGAGAACAATATTAGTCAACAACTCCTCTAAAATTCCACTACTGTGCACTTAAATTTTATCCACTAAAGGTTTTCACTTTCGCAAATGTCTTTAGCACGAACTTAAAGACTGCATTAAACAATTTATTCGTTTTATCAAAACAATATTAAGTTTTCGTATTCAATAGAAGTATGTATCCTTATCCAAAATCCATTTTCTTAGTTAATGTGTTATAAAATTTCTCTTTGCACCTACTAAGATCAATGTGACTGTCTTTCCTTAGATAGTTGTTGTTTACCTACAAACGTTTTGTTTGTCTTTCAAATCGCTATAACATACTTCAAGAAACCAGATAAAAAGTAATCCCTCAAAAGTATGTG